GAAATCACGCACGATGGTCGGAGTATTGTGCCAATTAGACCGCGTGTCGAAGAGGACGTGAAATGTGCCAAAATATTTGAAGAAAAAGAAAGAGAAAAAAAAGAGACAGAAAGTGAGAGGGCAAAGGGAAAAAGGAAAAGAAGAAACACTTGGGAAACACGCTCAACGGCACTTTCGTCTATCTGTCGTTATATTAATTCTGTAAATATTTGTGCACTTGTATAGAACAAAAAAGATGAATGAATAAGAAGTTATTATCGTTATTATCGTTATTATTATTATTATTATTAATATTATTAATTGTATTAATTATTATTATCATTATCGCTTCGATTATCCTCGTTATTCGTCATCGTTATCAACCGTACTCTTATTCTCGACCGATTGAAACGCAAACAGGTTAAATAACGCGAACGCGAAGGTCAGTAAAACGATTGTACTTTTTTTAAGCAGCTAATTCTAAAATTATCGACGACAGCCATTTTTTTTTTCTTTTTTAGTTGGACCCGTGAAGCATGTTCGAGTACGACGTCGTTAATGTGTCGTTAATAACTAAAAACCTATTAGGATTTCCCTAGGTAATGCGTTAACAGCACGCGCAATGTACAGAAAGTCTAATCCTTACAGGAATGATGCCTGTTCGAAGTGTGTGTACGCTATATTGTTGCGAATATTTTTTTCGACAATCCTAGTTTGATTTTATGTGTACAAAATAAAACGTACAACTTCAAAGAAGAAATTTGTATGTATAGGTGCATACACTTTGTATATACGTATACAGTACGCACACATGTATCGCGAAGAATCGAAGGAGAAACGAATATCAAAAACCGACCATTGTTGTTATCACGAGTTAGCTATTTTTATGCCTTCCGTTACATCCAATCGTTCTTCCCTTCAAACCTGTGTGAAAATGTACGAAAGTGAAAGAAAGTTCAAAACGAATTATACGAAGTATTTTTTCTTGTTCTTTTTTTTTTCTTTTTCTTCTTCGTTTTTTTTAAAGTCTTCTTGTATTTTGCGACATCTCGTGTTTAGAGAAGATCGATATCGTAGAAACCTGTAATATCGTTTAGAAGTCTGTGATGTGTTAGAATAATCGAATAGTTGTGTAGATCGTTTAATACAAGGGCGGAACCGTTGACACGTGGAATCGACCAAAAAATACAAGCACTGACTGATGATAGAGATCGAGAAAAAAAGAGAGACGATTATTTGTATTTTAAAATTTGAATTAACCAAAATAGTGCGCGATATAATTAGCAATAACAAGGCGCGAAAATAATGTACACGGTGTTACATATACAATCGCGCTAAAACATTCTAAAGGAAATGAGAAGGAAAGAAAAAAAAACTAAAAATAGATTGAAATTAATTATATCTATATCTTGTATCATTTTTAAATAAGATCATGGATAAAAGATGAACCAACTCTCTGTCAAGAGAAGAAAAAAGGGAAAGAAAAAAAAAAGATGGCCATTTGTTCGATTAATAGAAAAAGGAAAAAAAATTCGGGAGATGCGTTTTATTCAGAATAGACCTTGGATTCATTCGCGGTTAAATTGTTTGTTCACACGTATTATGTAAATAGGCGATGAAACAAAATTACCGTCGTATATTATATATATATATATATATATATATATATATATACACATTCACAAAAACAAACAGATATGTATGTATATATATATATATCTCAAGTCAGAGCGGATATTACAGAAATCAACAGGCAGTGTTTCTGCTGTTTCGCCCCCTTCCTCCCTTCTCTACTTCCCAATTTTTTCCATATTCTGTTACAGTATATTCCATTGAATAAAAATAATTATAATATTTGTAAAGCCGCTTCAACTTTATACATAGAACTCGAATCGTTTGATTTTTTTTTTTTTTTCAGAAATTGTAGACAGATAAAGATACGAATAGAGAATTCAATTAAAGGATCGGGATGAGTTTTAATTTTAAGATATGAATAAAAGAGAAAAGAATAAAAAAGGACAAAATAATCGAGGAGTTAATAGTATAATAATTTTTTTTTTTCAAGGCGCAAGATAATCAAGATAATGAGAGCGATGAACGTTTTCAATTTTTTTTCAAAAATATCATTATAAATTACAGAAATTTGACTTGACCCCAATAATAAAACAGACTGTACAGGAAATTCTCATGTTATACTACGAACGTTTTGTTTCTATTTTTATCTCTTCTTGAGAAGTTTACGATTTATCGAAGCTTCTCGTTGCTCCTAGCTGTTCCTATCCTATTGCTCTACGATACAAAAACTTTTTTCAATCTCAGCTATACTATATTGTAAATCGATTCAACGTCTTTTTTTTAACCTTGTTTATAAAAAACTTTTTTTTATTTTTAATTGAATTAATATCCAAAAAAAAAAAAATTTCTCATAAAAGAAAAGTAATTATACGATCATTAATAAAGATGACTAGTGCTGGCATCAGCACGCTTCGAATCCTTTCAATTCAACAAATGGAGGTTGGAGAATCAATAATCGAGATCATTTTCTGCGCAAGTTTCTTAGCCACGATGAATTTCTGCTAGATCGAACGAAAGGTACGCAAAGAAAAAGTCAGAATTGGAAAAGAGAAAAATAAAACAAAAATTACGAGGAATAAGATTACGAAAGAAGTTGCAAAGAAGATTCTAGATTTTATCGTCGATAGAAAAACTGTTCGACCAGTTTTCATGAATAACAATCAATATGTAAGAAACTCTATGGACACAATTACATATATACTTTCCAAAGGAAATTCATGCGAATATTCGAATGAAAATTCCAAAGGAAAGGACTAATTGCTCGTCTCCAATCTCTTCCTCGAAGGAAGATGGAAATTGATGGAGGGACGAATCGATAGTCCCGGTTGAAGTCGACGACGGGACGAGTGTTTCGCGTCCGTGTTTTGAGGCCATTGCTAGCGAAGGGTGGCCAGAAGAGGAAGAAGGGGGCGGCGGAGAAATAGAGAGGGCGACGTTAAGGGCGGGGGAGGCGGGGGTGGGTGTCGTGTACGCGCATGTTTCTTCTCCGCGAAACGGATCGATGCTGGAAATAGCTCGACCCGCAGGAGAGTACGAGGTGAGTCGGCTTCGCTTTCGGCAGGGCCTTTGCAGCTCTTCACCGCTCGCCGTTTCCTGTTTCACGAATCGTAGGGGGAAACGTAACTCCACGTACAGTCTCCACAATCTCTTCTCGTATTCGCGAGCTTCCCTTCGACGGTTACCGATCGATCCGCCGGTTTTCCTCGTCGATCTCGTTCTTCCTCTTCCCCCGTACAGTTTCCATCCAACTCTCTCATCTCAATTTTAATCCCAATTTCTTTCCTTCTTTCTTTCTTCTATTTTTTTTTTTTTTCTTCGAGTGTGTGCTTTCGACATCCATCGCAAGTGAATAAAAAGAGAAACAGAGAGAGAATCTCGATAGCGGGATGACTCGAAAAAAATGTGCGTCGTACCGATGTGGCTGACGAGGCTGAAATCGTAAGTACAAATGAAGTAGTGGAGCCAAGACAGAAGGCTTTTTTTTTTTTTTTCAAGATTACATAGATAGTGGTTCGCGAACACAAGTGCAAAACGTGGCCGCAATGATACGTCACCTATACGCTTTCATCGTTGCCTCTTGATTGATCCGCCTCGGAAACTACACTTCACTCGCTCTCGTAATAACCGATCCTTTTCGATCCTTCGTATCTACGAGCAGCGAATCGAGACTACGTCTCTTAGCTCGTTTTTTTTTCTTCGTTCAAGATTTGTCCACACTTTTTCCTCAAAGTTTTTCCAATTGGACGATAAGCAAATCTTTCGATATATAATATGATAATCTTCGTCCCACCTGTAATCTGTCTGCATTATTATCTAGAATCGATTGAACTATGTCAATAACTGTATATGTCATAGTGTTAGAAGTAGCAATGTATAGAGAAAGAAAATCGTCTTACGAAACTCGAAGCATTTTGTTTGTCGTAAACTAATATATTTTTATAGCGTTGGATGGATCGCGGCTTCGTTCGTAGGTATAGCTGACGCAGCAATGATCGTTGCTAAGACGATAATGAAACTGCTCATTGAGAACTTGGCTTGGTCGATACACACCTAGCTTTCTAGCCTTGGAACGTCTTTAAATATATATATATATATATATATGTACATATACAAGCGGCCTGTTTCGTTATCCTGACATTTGTTCCACGGTTCCTTTTCGTTCCCTCTTAAACGAATTCTCCGTTTCAGGCTGGAGTTTCAACGGTGACCGCGTGCTCTGAAAATGGAAATACGAAAATTCGGCATCGAACGATTCAAAGCTACGTTGTTGTAAGAAGTGACAGGTGAAAAGCTGGTCGAGCGTTACAGGATGTTTCAGAAAGTTGAAACTTTGATTGAAGCATGCATGGTGCTCGTCGAAATAAACACGATAATGATAAACAATGCGAATATATTATTTTTTAATTTAGAAATCTTTTAAATACAATATAGTTTCCATTCTATCCTTTAGATTTTTACGGATTTAGATTTATTTTGACGACATCCACCACCATATTTTTCAACACCAATTTTCTGAAACATCCTGTACAGAATTATTTGTACCGGTATTACGCGTGCGCTTTCAGAGAGACACTATGGACAAGTGTTCGGGATATTGGAGCGACGCTCTTCGCCGAAACTTTCTCAATTACGTCACGAAATTCGAGCAAAGCTAGAGCCACTCGCTCCGTTGTGTATACGCGATTCGATTGTTTTCCAACATCGTCCAATATTCTTGGCCGCATTCCGTTTTTTTCTGTGCTACGCTAAATAGAATTCTAAATAGATAGACTGCTGCTTTCTCAAATTTCATCTCGTTCAGAATTTCTATTCTTCTGTGTATCCTTTTTTTCTTTTTTTTCATTTTAAGTAACTATCTTTTTACGTCGTAATTCGCTTGGAATATTTTTGTACAGCGTAGAATATCGTTGTTTAGAGCATGTACAAAGCTCAAGCATTGGAGCAGCGCGCTACTGGAATTCATATGGGGTTTGGATGTTCTAAATATAAATCGACATGCACGTCATTTTTCTTCTCTATCCAGTTACGCGACCTCGCTTCGCTATTGCCTTAAATTTTTCAATTTGGCAGATCGTTCTTCATTTTATAGTTAAAGTTTCTGAAAAGAAAAATAAAAAAAGAAGAATTACGTTTAAAAATTTACTTTCTTAGAATTAAGAGGCGTTCTTTTTTTTTACGTAAATAAATAGATGATACCTGTTTGGCAGGTTGGTAATTGATCGGTAACAAGTGTCAATTCCTGTGCAGAATCATACGGGTCGATAATCTCTATTTACCTGGTGACGCGTTTCAAGCTAAATTTAATTATCTGGAAAGTAGGAAAGATAGGAATATAACTTATCGTGTCAGGTGTCGCCATCCATATGTTGCTATCCATATTCCTCCTTTTTGAAGATTAAAATATTAAAAATATATTTGTTAAAAGAAATAAAACTCTCGTTATTCACCTTATTCATTTTATCTTCCATTTCATCGAACCGAGAAAACAATGTTTCTCTTTGTGAAGTGGCAGAAGTAGAACAGTGGACGTATATAGGTTAGATCGTCGAGGAGTCGATCGATTTCTCGCCCATTATCGATTACAGTTTCCTAGCGTGGTTACGAGTGTACCGTGGTGACGATATCGATTTTAGATGGAGAGAATTGCGATAGTCGTCGAGTTTGTTAGCACGCCAATCACGATACGACTATCCTGCGATAAATCTGAAGCACGTGCTCTCTCCTGTTCCTTCAATTTTATCGACGAAAATTTCTATTTCGTACTTCTTATTCCCTTTCCTATTTCGTTGATTCATTTTAATTTAAAGATTCCTGAGAAAAATTTAATCTGAAAAAATTTCGATTAATTATTCGAACAGTTGTTTCTATCTCTTCGAAAGCATAATCCAACTATATCGATAGACGATATTGTTATTCCAGAGAGGTTTATACAGGTTTCGATCAGGTTGGTATTAATTAAATTCTCCATTCATAGCCGATTAACGCGTTAAATTATGCTCGTTATAAAACTTTAAGCTTCTTATCAACGATACGGCTCACGACATATAGTCGAAAAGAAACGTTTGTACGTTGCACAACTTTTCTAACAAATTTCATTTTTCAACAAAATAAACCGCGCATAAAATTCATCTTCGTATGTATATCCTTTACACATCCATCTGAAAAAAAAAGTGATAACATCAACTCATTATACCTTTCTCTTTATATTTTTCGATATTATTAAAAAAAAAAAAAAAAGCGAGACATTTCGTAGATGGTCCATCCTAGGTAGATCGAATCCTGACCTACAAACCGTCGAGCCAAATTGATGAAATATTAGATAAGAAAGAAAAGAGAGCGCTGCTATTTTCTCATTGATTCGGAGCAGTGTCGTGGAAGGCCAATAGGAAGGGCAAAATGGTCACGGGTACGTTACTGCGATCGATCGAGTTATTCTGGCAACGATCCCATAACGCATACACACAACCATCTAAAGCGAATATTACAAAAAAATATTACAAAAAAAGTTCCAGATAACTATCCCATTGCCATTGCGTGAAACGAAACGATCCGCGACGTTCGATTCGCGATTATCCTTCCCTGTGATTGGTCGAAGCTGTTCGAGGAACGATTCTCTCGCTTCGAGATATATCGACTCTCAGTAATATGGCGGGGCGCGTGTTCAATGGCGCGTGTTTCGCGGCGTGCACTCGTTAAAAAAAGGATCGGACGAATTTAGCACGGCGGTTATAAAGAGCGACCGACTAAGAACAGATCGGTAGTGTGCAACAAGTATTCGAGAATTCGAGCATGACAGTGTCGTGGATGGTGTTGTTTCGTTCGCGGGTGCACCTATCTTACCGATATCGCACGTTCAGCTTTCGTTCTCTTAGATCGATCGATGTTAAAGACTGTACAAAGTGTGTGTGTGATCTTGCTCGAATGTAATACCCTTCGTGAACTACTTTCCACTGCACGTAGAAACCTGCATTAACCAATTACCGTTAGTTGACTTGACTTGTTCCCGAATTGTTCGATCAACGTGCAATATAAATTGAAATTAGTGGAATACGAAATAGATAGAGTGACGCTTTCTCTTCATATCCTTTCCCTCGTACAAATAAACGTATCTTTTTAACGCTTATATCCGGCAACAACGTAACTCCCGCGATTTCGACGACTCTGACCGCCTTTCCTTTTCGTAAAAGGAAAGAAATAAAGAAAGAAAAATGTGATGGTTGTCAACATAAGCGTTAAACTCGACACGTGTTTCTCGACGAAGACGCGGAAGACGAGGTTGAACTGACGCGAGAAACGATTGATTTCAGAAGCCTCGCTTGTTCCACGGTAGGTCTTAGAGGATGCACAAGCTAGCCAAGGGCCTGAAGAAGAAGAAAAAGCAGAAGAAGGGTAAGAAGGGGGCGGAGGAGGACGAGTTCGACCCGGAGGAGCTCGAGCGTTATAGGCGCGAGCGGGCGGAGGCCCAGCAGAAAGCCGAGGATTCCGGCGAGCAGGCCAGCAACGCTTCCTCCGACGAGTGGAAGAAGTTCGAGGCGTTGACCGCCGGCGTCGACTCGATCCTCAAGAAGACACAGGGCGATCTCGACCGCATCAAGTCGACCTCGTTCTTCCAACGGAAGCCCCCCCTAGACGAGGAGAGGAGGAAGGAGGGGGAGGAGGGGGAGGAGGCGGAGAAGGAAGAGGATCACAAAAAGAAGAAGAAGTCTTCCTCCTCGAAGAAGTGGGTGGGCTTCGACGAGGAGGGGAATCCTATCGAGGGGGAGCCCCCCGACTTC